GTGTCATCATCAGTCTCAGTTTTGGCTGTGTGTTTCCCCTCTAGTATCTTTTCTGGAGGGGACAGTGAGCCATAGAACACCAAATTGGGAAAAGACATCAGTGTATGCAGTGTGTGACAGTCTGATACATAATCTTCATAACCATATCATCATCTGTGTTAACAGAAGTACCATTTTGGTGGGCTTTTTTTCTTTTCTTAGTGTTTGAAATTTCTTCTCTTTGGTTTGGGCTAAGTTCATAAATCAATGGAACAGAGATTGTATAAGATATTTGGGATACATGCTCATTACATGTGAGCGTGACCAATTACATTGAGCTACATCTTTAAGTGCATTTCTGCTCTCTGAACCTGGCTGCACTGAGGAATAGCATTCTAGCCTCTCCAAATGCATTTTACGTATGCCAATAGGCTCAAGACTTTTCTTTTGGAGATTCTTTCATTCCGAAATGAGATTCAATGCAATGCATTCCAGCCTCGCTTTTCTCCCCACTGTTGTTTTCTTTTGGGATTACTGTTTGGTCATTGTTTGGTTCGGGCTGTACTCAATCACCCTTGTAATTAGTGTGGAGCTAATAACCATGTGCTGAGTAATCATGTTTGCTCTGATTTTCTGGGTTGTTTTTTTGTCTCTTTCAGCTCCCACTGACTTTGGGGGGGGGATTTTGACATTTAGCACCTCTGAATCTAGTGTTATTTCAGTTATGCGCAAGCTGCTAGTGTGTTAGTGGTAGCCATTAAGTGATTGGATTCTTCTGCCTAAATATAACTGTCCAAAACTTAAGTGTCTGTGTCAAGATGGGTCACCCAAGGGGCGCTTTACGGACAGGGAAGTTCTATCGTTATGTTCCTGGGGTTAGCATGCAATGTGTCTATGTCTTCACCTTAACGTGGATGCCTGTGTCTGGTCGGATGGTTCCTGCAATAAGTGGGAGCAGATCACCTGTTCTATTTTGGTTACATTTTTAATCCCTTTTGTTTGGAGAGTTGGTCTGTATAGAGCTGGGTGTGTAAAATCTGGGGTTTAAACCCGTGTTTATCTATGGAAATGGAAGTTGCCAGGCATAAGAAGAGTTGAAGGTTTTCTATCCCGGGTTGAAAGTCAAGAGGACCATCTTTAAAACGTAAATGCTTGGATGCACATGTCCAAATTTACATTCACGTGCTGATGTTTAAAACTGCCAACTACACAGGAATATTAATATTACCACCAGAGCATGCTATGAAATCACCTGCTCATAAGATGAGCATTTTCATTAGTGTTTGGAGAATGGCAGTAATTGTGAGGTTTCTTCTGCCTTCCTGAAGGCAGAAGCTCTTTATTTCCTCTGTAGTTCTTGGAAGCAGGCAGCCTCCTGGCTTAACTGCACACATTCTGTTTGACAAGTTCAGTCTCTTGTTTGGCCAGATACTTCATCTGGGAACAAAAGAAAGAACCAGTTTACCTTCCCTAATCCAGATTCTGGTTCATTTCACAGTTGTGTTTACAACACGTTTGCTTAAAGCTACAAAGACCAGTTTGTATAGTTCTTAGCTGTCACTAGTCAAGGGGATGTAATTAATAGCATCTCCCTTTTGAGTCTCTAAAGCATTTTCTTTCCAACAACCTTTTAAGGTAGGTACCACTGGGTAGCAAGCAAATCCATAATGTTCTGGTAATGTTTAAAATCAATTGCATCTTACTTGGCTGACCTTGATTAAGATTTTAAGTGTCTTTGGCAGAAATAAAAGATCAGTGAAAGCTCCTACTCAATAAATGTATAAGGAATCATAGAAAACCAGGTTGGAAGGGGAGCTTGAGGTTCATCTGGGTTAAGCTTAAGAACTTTACCTTTTTAAGTTTCTTCTTAATTCATTGACTTCAATATCAATATTGCCATTATTAATAGAAGTGTCATTTCCAGTATAACTCTCTAAATTTGAAATAAAGCTTGAAGTATTCTGCATGTGCTGCAACCTATGACAGAAGAGAAGGTTATGGAATGTTAATCATAGAATTGTTTGGGTTTGCAGGGACCTTAAAGCTCATCCAGCTCCAGCCCCTGCCACAGGCAGGGACCCCTTCCACTAGAGCAGCTTGCTCCAAGCCCCTGTGTCCAACCTGGCCTTGAACACTGCCAGGGGTGGGGCAGCCACAGCTTCTCTGGGCACCCTGTGCCAGCACCTCAGCACCCTCACAGGGAAGAACTTCCTTCTATCTAATGAAGCAGGAAGCAGACTAATCTCTTGGCTATGACACCTCAAAGGTGCTGGTTTGGGGAACAAACAAGAGGAATTGGAGATGTGTGCACGTCTACAGGGATATGATATAATAGGCATCACAGAAACATGGCGGGACGGCTCCTACGACTGGAGTGTTGGAATGGAAGGTTACAGGCTCTTTAGGAAAGACAGGCCTGGCAGGCGGGGAGGGGGAGTTGCCCTTTATGTTAGGGATAGGCTGGAGAGTATGGAACTCTGTCTGGGACAGGTGAGCAGTCCACAGAGAGTTTGTGGGTCAGGGTTAAAGGGAATATAGCTATGGGAGACGTTACTGTGGGGATCTGTTACAGACCGCCTGATCAAGAGGAACCTGTGGATGAAGCACTCCATAGACAGATAGGAAAAGCCTCACGCTCGCAGGCCCTTGTTCTCATGGGTGACTTCAACCACCCTGACATCTGTTGGAAGGACGGTACGGCCCGGCACAAGCAATCCAGGAGGTTCCTCGATTGTGTGGAAGACAGCTTCCTTCTGCAAGTAATAGAGGAGCCGACAAGGAGAGGTGCCATGCTTGACCTCGTGCTCACCAACAGGGAAGGGCTCGTTGGAAATGTGACACTCCAGGGCAGCCTTGGATGCAGCGATCAAAAGATGCTCAAATTTAAGATCCTCAGGACAGGGAGAGGAGCGTGCAACAAGCTCAATGCCTGGACTTCAAAAGAGCAGACTTTGGCCTCTTCAGGAACCTGCTTCGGAAGGTTCCATGGGATACTGCCCTAGAGGGTGGGGGGCCCAAGACTCTTGGTTGATATTCAAGGATGACCTGCTGCAAGCTCAGGAGTGTTGCATCCCAACCAGAAGGAAGTGCAGCAGGAGGGCCAGGAGACCTCCTTGGATGGATAAGGAGCTCCTGTGGAAAATTCAGTTGAAAAAAGAGGCTTATAATAAGTGGAAGCAAGGACAGGCGGCATGGGAAGAGTACAGGGATGTTGGCCGGGAAGCTAGGGACCAGGTTAGGAAAGCTAAGGCCCAGTTAGAATTAAACTTAGCTAGAGGTATTAAAGATAACAGGAAGGGATTCTACAAGTACATAGCAAATAAAAAACAGACTAGGGAGAATGTAGGCCCCTCAGGAAGCTCTCGGGAGAACTGGCTACTCAGGATTTGGAGAAGGCTGAGGTTCTGAATGACTTCTTTGCCTCGGTCTTCACTGGCAAAGGCTCTGACCAAACCACCCAAGCCTTGGAAGGCAGACGCAGGGACTGTGAGAATGAAGACCTTGGGCCCACTGTAGGAGAGGATCTGGTTTGAGACCATCTTAAAAACCTGAACGTGCACAAGTCCGTGGGTCCTGAAGGAGCTGGCAAATGAAGTTGCGAAGCCGCTGGCCATCATATTTGAGAAATCATGGCAGTCAGGTGAAGTTCCTGATGACTGGAAAAAGGGAAATATAACCCCCATTTTCAAGAAGGGGAAAATGGATGACCCGGGGAATTACAGAGCAGTCAGTGTCACCTCTGTGCCTGGCAAAATCTTGGAGCAGATTCTCCTGGAAGGCATGCTAAGGCACACGAAAATCAACAAGGTGCTTGGTGACAGCCAGCATGGCTTCAGTAAGGGGAAATCCTGCCTGGCCAATGTGGTGGCCTTCTATGATGGGGCTACAGAACTGATGGACAGGGGTAGAGCAGTTGATGGCATCTACCTGGACTTGTGTAAAGCGTTCGACTGTGTCCCACGCGACATAGAGTCATAGAATAGTTAGGGTTGGAAAGGACCTTAAGATCATCTAGTTCCAATCCCCCTGCCATGGGCAGGGACACCTCACACTAAACCATCTCACCCAAGGCTCTGTCCAGCCTGGCCTTGAACACTGCCAGGGATGGAGCATTCACAACCCTGCTACCCCTTGTCCTGTCATTACAGTCACTAATGAAGAGTCTTTCCCCAGCATCCCTGTAAGCCCCCTTCAGATACTGGAAGGCTGCTCTGAGGTCTCCACGCAGCCTTCTCTTCTCCAGGCTGAACAGCTCCAACCTTCTCAGCCTGTCTTCATAGGGGAGGTGCTCCAGTTCCCTAATCAGCCTCGTGGTCCTCCTCTGGACTTGTTCCAACAGTTCCATGTCCTTTTTATGTTGAGGACACCAGAACTGCACACAATGCTCCAGGTGAGGTCTCACAAGAGCAGAGTAGATGGGCAGGATCACCTCCTTTGACCTGCTGGTTATGCTCCTTTTGATGCAGCCCATGATATGTTCGGCTTTCTGGCCTGTGAGCGCACACTGCCTGCTCACATTCAGTTTCTCAACAACCAACACCCCCAAGTCCTTCTCCGCAGGGCTGCTCTGAATTCTCTTCTGAATTCTTTCCTGTGAGGGTGGTGAGGCCCTGGAATGGGTTGCCCAGGGAAGTTGTGAATGCTCCATCCCTGGATGGTGTTTCATCCCTCCATCAATCCGGATGAAACACATGTTCAAGGCCAGGTTGGACGAGGCCGTGGGTGATATGATTTAGCGTAAGGTGTCCGTGCCCACTGCAGGGGGGTTGGAACTGGATGATCTTAAGGTCCTTTCCAACCCTAATTATTCTATGAGTCTATTACACCACAGTTTAAACACTAAGCACATGCTAAATTTTAAGCACTTGAATTTCTCAGTTCTTAATGTTGCTGAAGGTTAAGTTTAGGCATGAGTATTGTCAGGATTTCAGGTGAATGTAGTAAGTCTACTTTGTTCCCCAACAGATGCTGGGTTTTGATATTCTGGTAACTAATACTGGCTTTTTTTCCCTTTTCCCTAGGTGTTTACCTCCCACGGACCTACTGTGATCATGCCAACCTGGTTCTGTTCTCGAGAATGGTTTTTTCATGTGGGAAAATTTGATGAGGGTGGAAAGGTGAGTGCTATGGATGATTCATAATGCAGTTTCCAGCTCTTTCTTCAACAGCCTCTGAAAGCCATAAACCTATTACTAAGAAGCAAAGGGGGTATAGGTAAAAACTGAGGTCTGAAAAAATCTGAGTCATACCATATACCTTTCTTTTTAAAAAGAACAACATCAAACAAGTGCAGTTGGTTTGGGGTGACTCTGGTGATAGAAGGACACAACTGAGATGGGCGCTAGAATAGATCTAGCACCTTTGGTAGACATGTCAGCATATCTGGAAAACTTAAAGGAGGATTCAGACATTCAAGCTCCTCTTCAGTCCCTGAAATAGATCTGAGAGCTCAAGAAAAGTCTGTTCATGGTTTCATTATGAACCATCTCTGAAAAGTAAGGTAGATTTGCGGAAAGGGACTGGAAGGGAAGAAAGGTGCAGGATGGCAAAAAGATGGTAATATATTGTCCTAAGGGGAAAAAATTATGTCTCTAAGATGAAGAAAGAAGGGAGGAGGAGAGGTCACAAAGTGCCATAAAACTACTATTACTAAATCTTATTCATCCATTTGTCTTGTACCCACTTGTCAATCTGAGTTCTCAGGCTTTTCCTTGGAAGATGTAACCTCTCAGTCCTGATCCTTGAGGAAAAGTTACTTAACAAATTAAACGACTGTTATCAGAGAAGTGTTCCTGCATGAATAGTTAGACATTCTTTTGCTGTAAGAATTTCCTGTATGAGTTCCATTTGGTTGTTTCAGGCTCATCAGCATCTTTATGAAATAAAATCCAGGGATGTCTATTGGTGGTATTTATTGTGGTATAACTGCAAATATGTTGGCAAAGAGACCTAATTCAGACACATTTGGATCTATTCCGTGTGGTTTGGACCTGAGAGGTTTGCTTTGCATGATTTTAGTGGGATTTTAGAGGTGGAATGGAAATGCTTTCATTTAATAGCAATAGTAGTCTAAAAAAAAAACCCCTCTGCTAACACCATTTCCTATGTTATTATTTCAACTACAACAGATTATTATTTGTTTTATAGCCTCTAAATGAAGCCCTCCTGTGCCATGTAGTATGTATATATACACACAAACATACCTACACATGTATATATGTATGCATGAGGATATAAAAATATTGTTCTTTGGGCTGCCAACAAAAACATAGTTCCAGGAGACAGCAGACAGAGAACAGAGTTGTTTAGAGCAGTGAAAAGATTTGTCCTTCATTGCATGGTAGGTGAGTGGAAGAGGTGGGAATGGCTCCCAGTACAATCCACATCTGCTGACCCATGCTCCTTATTTCTTTTGTATTATTATTACTTATTGTATTTTCACTCTCTGAAGAATGTTTGACTTCTTGAGCATTGTTATTAAGCTCAAAGAAGAAAGCAAGAAGGCTAAAACACAGTAACAACAATTGAACAGCAAGCCTAATGATAAAGTTCAAGAGGTTAACTTAAAGAGGCTGTTGTTCTGTGCTTTTAGGTTTGGGGGTTTTTCTCCTGATTTTTGTGGGGGGTTTTGTGTTGTGCTGTGTGGGTACTGGTTCTTCACTGGCAGTCTTAATTCTAATGATTTTTTTCAGCCACAATGCATGATATGGCTTCTAGTTTTAAAAATTACCAGTGATGAGTTAAACTTTTTGTTTGGCCCTATTGTGAAGTGTCCAGCATGTCAATACTCAAACTCTGGCTAATACAGAGGACCTTCGGAAAGTACCCTGTGGACAGGGGTAATGACAGATCTTAACAAAGCAATGAATGTAAGCGATGAAGTCAAACCTTTGTCCTGTGTGAGTTTAGGGGACCTAAAGTCCTAACTCTTCCAGCATTTAGCACCTTATTTAGCATTATTTTAACTTGTTCATTTTAATTTGAAAAGAATTCCTTTGAGGCAAAGAAAGATTTTTCTCTGTGTATCAACAGAGCTGTTATAAACTAGTACTGAGACTCCTGAGGATCTTACCCATGTGTGTATGTTCTGACCTGACCCGTGATCTGGCAATGTTGATGTGATCACTTATCTCTCCACTATTGGTTAGGATTTAACAGTGTGACCTCTAAGTGTCTTATTGCTGCAAGTAAACACAGAAACAGGCCAACAGATCTCCACATTTCAGCCTTCTCCATTTGCTAAGCTGTTTCCATGCCAAAAAGCTGCATTTCTCGTTTGGAGTTAAATCCAAACACCTGTTCTTCATATTTCAGTGCTTAGGACAAATGGAGGATAATTCTTCCATGGAAGAAACTGTGATTTTATGTTTGTTAGTAGTATGGATGGACTGATAGAATAGAAATATATAAGCCATGATGTAATCTTTTTTTCCTGCAGGTAGATGTGCATGTTTGCATGCATCTCCATCCAGGCTTTACATGAAACAGATTTTTAACAAATTATTTCCAAAAACCATTTTGTATATAAGTTCTTTCTGGTCAAGATCTTCAGTTGCTGGAAACATATTCCTTTTGTGTAATCACCGTGGCAGTGTCCAAGCCAAATCCTAAATAGTATCTTCATAAATGGTGGAGAAGAACCTGACAGGTTTGCTTTATGTACTGATTAACTAAAATAGTAGAGGTTTTATTTATACAACCGCTGATACATGAGAATTAAAGCAGAAGTGCTTAACTGAGATGAAGATAATACAATAGAAATGGGCACAAGCCTATAAAGTAACTTTTCATAGTATCCACTGCTAGGAGGAGAGTCATAAGAACCATATTTCTGACCTAATTTTTTAGGAAACTGATGAGAAATAATCTTCCTGTTGTCCAACTGATTCAGATGAAGAATGCAGTGCTTCCTCCTTGAAAGAAGTAGCAGCTGATTCAGATAAAGAGCCCAGGCTGGAATAGCATATTATAAGCTACTGACCTTTCTGAATACAAACTTTGGCTCCAGCCGGTGTCTGGGGCTCAATTTTGATCTATTTTTGTGATAAAAGGTCACAAAAAGCACGAATTGAGGAGGTGTCAAAATATCCATTGATGCACAGGAGACGGTAGCACATGCTGCAAAGCTCTAAAATAACATTGTAGGCTAGTAGGTGCTAACTAATGGATTTTTCCATTCTTCTCTGCCAGAGCACACAAATGTCATTCCCTCCAGAAAGGCAAGCAGTTACAATACTGCCTGAAAGGTAAAAGGCTAAGTAGGAATTTGTTTTCTTAGACCATGAATTAAAATTACAGTCAGTCTGTCAAATAACCTATCAAGGTGCTCTGGGGAAAAATCCGGATGAAACACAGGCACTAATGTTTTTGCTTTGGTATAGTTAAGGCTGAACAGAGATCGGTATTTGATGTGAAAAGGAAAGAAAGAGTGGTAGAGGCAATGATTAATTACACTTTGTAAGCTGTTTGAAAATCCACCCTATCTCTCTCGTCTAATGACATTTTTCTGCTAGTCTGTTATTAAAAACCATTTAGAATTTACCACCTCCCTTCCATTTGACTTCACTGTCATCGTTGTTTCTCTGTGACAATACGTTTGGATGAAAGCAGTCTTTGGAATTTCCTCTAACCTGTCATTTCCCAAACAGTGAAGGAAATGTTACAGGCTTCAGGTCTTGCAATCAAGGCAAAATGATGTAAAGACATAATTTGGATGGGAACCAGAAAAAAAATGAAGTGACATCTGTACAAAGAGTCTTTAAAATATGTTGGATAATCCTGCAAAGAAGCTATAAAAATCTATGGAGTTAGCTTGTGATTAGTCTGCTTGCATACCTCTGGTGACTGTCCTAAAGGAAGTTAAACTAGCGAGTATTTCAATTCATGGTAACTTCAGTGTGTTGTTGTTCATTACCAAAGAAAATATGATTGAAATTTAATATAAAACTTGTCTTTAGGGAAAGACCAAAGAGTGGATGATTCTTGATAAATTACTTTAGTTCCTATTTTTTTTTTTCACCTTTACATTTAAATTGGAGGGGAATTTCTTACTTAGTTTTAGGTTCAGCAGCTTAGTAGCTGTTCCCCATGAGCAGCACACTTTGAACCATGTTTGTTGGTGAGTGAGAGTTCAGTGTCTGGCAGAACAGCATTTGGTTCTGAGGCAGGAGTACTTCCTTTTACATAGGGTGTCTGTGTTCACTTCCACGCAACCAACCCCTCTGTATGTGATATTTCTGTAGGATTTAGCTCAAGGCTCTGAGGAAATGCTGCTGGGCAGCTGTTGGCATATGTATTTAAAAAGAAGTACTTTGATATTTTTATTCAACGTCTCTGCTTTGTTGCTAAATGACCCTGAGTTGAGAACTTTTTTCCTGTTTAATCTTAGATGTTGTAATACACACCATCTGATCTCCCTTTTTATGCAACTTTAGCATAATATTAATGCTGACATTTTTATCTTTCTTAAATGGATGTTCTAAAATGTGCAGTGTGAAACGAGTTGGTTCAAAAAATAGAAACAAACTGTTTCAAAGTCCTGTAGGGTATGGGTTAGTATGGAATCAAAAGTTGCTTCCTTTCTGATTTTCTTTCCATTCACCAATTTTAGGCTCCTCTGAGGAGTTAAAGCAGTTTGGCTTATTCTACCCAACACTTACCCTGGTGTCACTGTCTGGTTTCCAAACTGTGCCAAGTTATAGCCCAGTTTTGCTTGATGCCTGTGATCAAGAGAAAGGGCTCAGCTTTCCCAAACCAAAGGGAATTTTTTTCATGTGTTGCTAGATATAATTCCGTTGTCTTGTTTGTCATCGCTTTTTGTTATAAATGCTTGTATTCTTGATTCAGTTTTTGATTTTGCATTTTCTCCAGTTAGAGTGAAATCTCCACTGGCTGAATCTCCACTGATTTTTTTGCTCACAAGAATCTGCCATACTACAGCACCTGTCAGCTGGAAGAGGGCAGGGGAAGGGCACATGTCAGAGATGAGTGAGAGAAGCCTGGAGAGGAGAGTGATGGGTGAGGAAGTTGGAACGGATTGGTTCTGTTCTGTGGCAGAACTAATCTCCTTTATTAGGTTTAGCATTAAAAGGCAGCTCTTGCATTGTGCTTATGCCTGTACAGCCTAATAGTAACTTCTGTCCAGGTGACCCAAAAAATAGACTTCTGCAGTAGTTACTGTTGGTTGTCCCACGGCTACAACATGATCTCTCACCAGGTGTTACAGCATTGCACAGAAGACCACTGTCATTAGAAGTCCTCCAAAAATTGCTTAGTATCTTTATCCCTATTGATGTTCCTCACTGTTACTGATGGTGAAGTTACAAAAGCTGTAGCCAGGATTTCTTCTTGTAGTGGTAGGTGGCTTGCACCTCCTTGTCAGATATATATGTTGAGGATGCTGCAGTTGGAGTAGTGTTTCATGGACAGCCATCTGCTAAGAGTGAGAAACAGCAAGCAGTGAGAAGATGACAAGAAAAGAATAATGCAGTATTTAGTTTGGTCCATGAACAAGGAACTACTCTGACTCAAGGCAGATTCTGCTTGACAGCCAGTGTGTATGCAGAATTAATGTACATTAACCATCAGTACAGCAAGTGATACCTGCTCAAAATACTGAGTAATCATAAATCCTTCACTTATTTAGTGTTGAAGTGTATGTTCATTTTGTGCATGCTGGTTAGAACCAGCAGTGATTTTCACCAGGAGCTGCAATCAGCAGCTTATGAGCACACACCCTTGAGTGAAGCAGGCCAGTGAGTTTCTCCTTTAGTGCTGCAGATCATCTAGGGTTGGCTTTTGCTTGTAACATGGAAAATTCTGTATATAGTCCAGTAACATGTAAGCTGTGCAATTTAGTTGTATTTATTAACATTGAAACTGTTCGTGTAGTAGCCTATTGCTGAAATGCTGTCTTGTTAAATTGGTATTTTCAGCTATGGATATTAATTTTCCCAAAATGCATTAAAATATCCCTTTAGTGGCTAAACAGTTTTTTCTTCGAAAATTGTGTTGTTTGGCAAAGATTCCCGGTGTCTAACGTGCCATCTGGATCCAATAATACATCTCAATTGGGAAGGAACTCTTGTGTTGCAAAAAACTTACACGCTCAAGAGCTGTAGGAAGTCCCATCCCTGCAGGATCTATAACACAGTCAACATCTTCCCTCCCCTGAAAAATACATGGCAGGGCTGCTCCTTTGTAATGCGAGAGGCCACTGCTGAGCAGTACAAGGCACCTGCTCCTTCCTGGGGGTGAGCAGACTTCATTTCAAAGGACTTCTGCTGGCTGATGGAAAGCAAGAGTGCACTCAGAAACAAACAGCATTTTGAAAGATCTCTTCTGCTGTAACTCTCTTTAGTAATATACTTGCTAATGGTTATCTTGAATAATGTAAATGGTTATCCAAAAGATAATCGCACATCTGGATGTGATATAATAATGTATCTGAATCAAAATATGACTACTGCAGTAGTTGATACGTGCTGCAGAATTTGTGCCCTGCCTCTCACAGTCTGACGTGTGACCGAAAGAGAGAAAAGGTTTAAACTTTGTTGCAGACTCTCAGTATTTCCTTTAAAGTCCAGAATAAGAAGAAGACCAGCATAAGAAAGGGCTGCAAGATAAATGGAAAGAATTTGAGTTTGTGGTGTTTTTGAGTTCTCAGTGACTGTGGTTGCTGTCTGCCACTCCAACTTCCCCCAGATTTCTTCTGTGGCTTTCCAAGTGGGTTCATATAAAGCACAAGTTTTGTAAGGTTCTCCAAAAGTTTGCTTCTGCATTACAGCTCTTAATCTAGAAGTCAGACCAATATCTACAAAGACAATTGATAGCTAGAGATACCCTGGCCTTTGCAAGCAGCCAGATCAGGATCCGTGATATTCAGAGTCTGGGAACATGGCCCAATTCAGTATCTTAAATCAATCTATCATGTAGTGAAGTCTGGAGCTGCAACGTACAGAGCCTGATTTGGTTCTAATTTCTCCCAGAATACATATGTTTAATTGAGTGTTTCAGATTTGTTTTCCAGGGTTTGAAGCTTTCTTGGTCTCATTACTCTTCCCTTCCCCAGACCCCCTTGGCTGCTCAGTCTGGTGTGGGTATGAGGAACAGTCTTGAATTGTATTGCTCTTGTAACGAGAAGGCCAGAGGGAACCACAGAGGGATTTTGTCTCCAGCATTTTAATTGGAGAATCTCCTTTTCTTATTTGTGGAAGAAACTCAGAAGCTGTGGTAATAAGGGAAAAAAAAAATGCCATTTTTTTGTTAATTTATTTATTGTGCTCTTATTTTTCTGTGTTGAACTAGAATACCTGAAGTTGATGTTTATGCCTCTGTTGTTCATGTATATAATACTGCCTACAGAAAGAAATGTATTTGGATATCTTTTCCATCTCAAGTTTCTCATGCTATCTATCAGCTTGTTATTGATGCTACACTTAAATATTTTATTTGGCCCACCTGGGTTTACTTAGCAGAGATTTTTAGCCTGATAAAATCATGTTAGGTTGGAGGAAAGAAAAATCTCTATTGAAACATAGAAAAATTAAAAGTTCTAGCCATATTTCAAGAAGTTTCACCATTGCAAAATAGATGGTACTACTTTACTTCCATTATAGGGCTATATCTTTAAAGGTGGGTTTATGTTTATGATGAGTAATGGAATAGTATGTGCTGTAAGATTGCCATCTGACACTGTCTCTGGCATGAAGATTCTCTGATTTTTAGGTGGGAAACGTTGCATCTCATCATGAAATCTCTTATTAGAGCCTGACAGAGCCACAGTTCTAGGAAATTAGGGGCTGGTTGTTTTTTGCAGTGTCTCAGCAGCAATCCTTTCAATCCCATTAGGAAGAATGTATCATGGAAATAAGTGGCAAGAAAAAAGTTTTGCTTTCAGACATTGCATCATGCTTTAATTAAGGTTTTCATTAAGGTTCCTTATTATGGGGTCTGATTCACCTTTCCTAAGTAGAGTCCAGAATATGTATTTGTATGGCAATCAGAGAAAGAACATTAGTAACATCAAAAAGTGCTCTTCTGAGTCACTGATCCCTTTCAGTGAGCTGTTTGGTTATGTGGCACTTGAGGCTTCATGAACTGCTCAGCAGCTGGTTTCTCTCTTTTGGGACTAACCTGTACCAAGCTTTATACCCATGTCAAAATGAGATGGTGTTTATTTTTCCACTACTGTCCTTGTGGTCAGCTGTACTTAGTTTTTAAATAGCACTGCTTGCTTTTTCAGTAGCTTTATTTTTCTACAGCTATGTTTATTTAATGACCCATTAGACAACTTCATAGACACATGCAGAAGTAATATGGATAAAATGATGTTAAACTTTATTCATGTGGCAGAAAAATAAGAAGTGTCTTCAAATGTAAGTATGACTGCTGGTCACTTCCTAGCCTGAAATAACTGCTTCTCTTCCAGGGTGTTCCAGAAGATCTGTTGTTTTTCTACAAACACATCCAAAACGGTGGTGAAGTCTTTCGAGTAAACCATTGCCTCCTGCTGTACCGTTACCATCCACAGGCTGCCACTCACTCCGTCCTAGAGTAAGTTGCATTTTCTTGGTAGAACTTAAAGCTTAACTTCATCTTGGATGATTGGCAGCAAAGATGTTTAGTCTCTTCAAGGCATCACATGGCAAAATAATTACCAGTTTGAGTTTAATTACTTGTTATTTTTTAAAAATGAGGCTAGAAAACAAGCATGACTTAACATTTTGGTAGTACCCTCCTTGGTGTAAGGTGGTGTTGCTGTAATTTGCTTTTTGAGTAACATACTGTAATGCTGGAATTGAAATGCTGAACTGAAATCTTTGGTGCAGATGCTTTTGCCCACACGCTGTCAGTGTACCTGGCTTAATGATGTCGTGAGGCAGGGATGGAGTTAACATTGGACGTGTTAACGTTGGACAAATGCTAAGTTGTTGTCTCATCTTTGCAACTGTTCTTGAAATAATTTCACAATAGGTATCGTAAGAGCCATGAAGCATTTTTGGGACTGCATTACAGCAGTACTTCCATTGCTTCAGCTGAGGCTTTGTAGCTGAGCATGTGAGATCCTGCAATCTGCCTGAGTACCCTTTCTGGTTATCTAAAGCATCTGAGTTTCTTACCCTCAAAGCAGATTAAGTATACTTTTGTCTGATTATGTGTCTCATCTGCTGCACATGGCTAAAGCAAACAGTGAAGTAGTAACTTCTCCAATACTTTGAACACAGTTGCAAGAATGTTTTTGAAATATATCGTCGTGGTGAAATTTTATTGGGATTTTTAATGTGCAGGGATTGGATTCTCCTGTTTTTTTGCCATGTGAACCATAATGTAAAAAAAAAAAATCATTTTAATTGTATAGCCTAATTTCAAAGTGAACTGTCTCAATTTGAAAGAAGTAAACAGAAACTTGCACTACCAACAGAAACCTCCTTTTGAAAAAAAACCAAACATGCCTAAACCTTTCATCTGATGATGTGCTGCATTTACATATATTATTTTCCTGTTTTAAAAGGTCTAAACCATCTAAATCAGATAAGGACGTTTGAAATACACCTGAGGATGTTTAGGAGTAATTATCTCAGGTGCTTCCTTATAAGCTGTTGCCTACTGCTTTTACAGTGCTGGCCTGCCCTTACATAACACATTAAACTGGGGATTGCTTGTTCCAGTACATGCTCATTTCACCCATCAGGGTGTTTGTTGTGATGGGATGTCCTGCAAGCTGAGCCAAAGTTATTTCTTTCTCTTATGCATTGACACTGGTGAAAACTTATCCAAGTTTCACTGCTATTTAGGAGTCCCATTCCAGAATCCTGGTAGTAATGAAGCGAACAGTATTCTTACTGATTAACGATATAAATACACTTTTCAGTCCTATTTGTACGGCTCTGTAGAACCAACTAGTGAAACTAAACATTTTTGTGTGCATTTTAGTTGTATATCATGATATTGTATTATTGTAAATACTATAGTAATCATAAATACCACATACGTATATAAAATCATTTAAGTCTGAAACAGGCGTTCCAAGCAAATGGAAGATGTTTGGATTTTACAGACAAATATGAGGTGAATTATTTTGCCTTTTATTGGTGTTTAAATGTAAGGGCCTTTTTTTTTTTTTCCCTTTTTGTGTGTGATCATTCTGGCAGTTAGTTCCAAACTTTTCAGCCACGCATCATGGGATGCTCGAACTCTTGGAAGCCTGTTGCATGTATCTGTGGGAAAACATCTTATTCTTGGAAATGAATTTGTTTTGAATTTACTGCAAGCTGTTGCTTATTCAGATCTACAAGGTTGTGTGGCACAAGCACCCTGAATTACAACATACTGCGAGAATGTGGAAATACTGTAAGCTGTTTCAGATGTGCAGCTTGGATGTCCAAATTGGCGCCTTTCTTGTCTCATTCTAAGAAGTCAGGATAGCCATTCTTCCTCTTGGCTTCGTGCTGGTACTACTGCTAATAACATTTTGTGCACACTTTCAATACAAGGTTGTGTAACACCTCTCCTTGTTGGCTTGTTCCCCTGTTTGTTGCCTAAGTCGAGCAGGGTTGGCCAGCATTTGTTTCTGAAGACTGAGGTGAGCATTGAGAATAAAGAAATTAATGGGGTCATCAGGAAGGTTTAAGTTTATAATTTGTATCTGGTCTTTCCTGCTTTGCCTTTTGGTCACCCCACCTTATTTAATGCGTCTTCTGCCTTTTCCAGAAGTCTTTTGTTTTTATGATGTGTTTTGAGCACTCTTCTGTGGCATTTTTCCTTTTGCCATTGGTCTATGTTGTCTTTGAATTTTCAGAGTTGGTGGAGAGCTGGATCTGGAAGTACAGACTCGCCAACTAGATTGAGATCTTGTCTGAAATCAAAATGATGCTTATAGGAAACTCGATGATTTATTTATTTTTAGTATCAGTTTATGCCTAGTTTCATTCTTAGAAAAATGGAGTTGTCAGTAAGACTTTTTATAGAAAAGGTACGTGATTCAATCCTTTCTGCACAGACAACAGTCACTCGTAGCCAGTTAAGGGCTGATTTTGAGTGCCTTCCATTACTGTTCATGGGGAAAAAATGCCTGATTTTTGCATTTTCAGACTTCCTAAAATATATATAAAGCTGCTTGGCAAGCAGCGTTTAGTTCTTTAGTATGTATAATTGTCAACGCTAATGATTTTTAGGTCATTTCCTATGATTAGTATCCTTCTGGAACAAATACCTAGAGGTGAAAGTATCTGTGAAGCAGGAAACGAGATCTTATTTGCATTCTCCCTTACCCTGGAGGCATCAGACCACGTTATTAAATGTTTTGGGTGTGTGACAGAATCTGGATGAAGTGCAGTGTCTATATTTAGATTTCATTAGGTGCATACAGAAATATAACCGTTCTCATTGTAATTTCATCTAAACCCTATCATGGATACCTGCTCAGTGGGAATGAGCAATATAAGTTTTGAGAAACTTCTCTTCAGCCAGGAATTTGCAACACACAATCCCCACATATTGTATCTCTTAGATCTAAATCATTTTATCTCACGTTACAGCTTGTATCCTAGGGCTGTGTGTACTTTGTGCTGCACAGCTACATTACACTGATTTGATACAATATCAGAGCTGGCTTTATAGTGTGAATTACCATAGAAAAGAAGTTTGGTGTATAATAGAAACATTGTAAAATTCATAGATTTTTATCTTATCAAGGGAGAAAAAGGAACTGTATATAAAATAATGTACCTCATTGCAAGATGAAAGTCAGCTTGGAACAGCATGAGCAATAAAACACTGCTTGTCTTTTGGTAGTATTGCTCATGAAGACAGGCAGTTGGGGCAGATAGCTGATCTTTGCCGCAGTTTACAAGCTTTTGGTCAAGAGAAATTGAGTACATGCAGACAATAAGGTTTGTACCGTCTGTCTGAGATTCAGGCAGCTCCCTTTTATGCAGCAAATGTGAAGCGTACTTACAAAATTCACAGTAATTTCATGTGCTGTGTATTCAGAGCAAGTGTAATATTGTAAGAGCTTGTTCTGCAGAAATAACCCAAATTACATCATCTATTGAAACCATCTGGTTTCAGGCACTAGAAGCTTCCAGTGTCATCTAAGTGAAGGAGAACAGGCACTTGATCTGAAGCACAGATCTGGTTGTTTCAGAGGTACTCTGAGGCATGGGTCTCATATCACTGATGAGCACAGGAATGCCTGCTTCATTTCCTGCAAAAACATCCTAAAACAGGCAAGAGAGAGGAATAGTGTAACATGTTCTTGCCCAACTGAAACGAAGATGAGGTCAACTGCATTTTTATCATCTATGCTTGCGTTTGGCACTCCAATTAAACATGGAAACTAATGACTTCATTAGATTCTTGAAAAGTAAATGGCATTAACATTGATAGTCTCTGTCTTTCTTAGTAAGCCTTTCATGAAAAATAGGCCACAATGCAAACCATGCCTCAGTTAATGACCCATGACCTGAAGATGAACTCAGACATTAATAGAACCTATTAACACAGTGTAAATGTAATAACTCAGTGGGACGATGCAGTCCAGCAATTAATAAGTTCACATGAAGTTCAACAGAACAACAGCGACCAAAAAAATCCAGTTTATTTACCAGTATGGACAAGGTTCAAATGGGATTCATTCCCGAATTTCCTGTGGATTGCAAGAACCTTGAATTCTGCGTGCAAAGATGGCTATAATCTGTTCTTTCAGCTCTCGCTGTGATTAAGTTCTCTGTTCTTTCACCTCTGGTTTATCTATCAGGTGAGATTCACCAAGAACAGAGAACTCTGTTACCCTGCTGTGAATAAAAAGCCAGTGGAAGAGGCCATTCATTTGAATAGCTCCTCTTCCTGTCTGGTGTTACCCGAGTGGCATGTGGGACCAAGGCATATAGAAAAGGTCAGATTTACAGATTTATGGTATTACTGTGAATGGTAATCAATGCCTGAAATTCCAGCGCAGTTTAGGATATTTGGCTTGTATTTGTGCATTTCTCAAGTACTTGTACATCTGTCTTTGCTCTGTTGATTCACTTATGTAGCCTCACTGGGGGAAGGAGGGGAAAGGCAGTCAAGCAATATGGCGAGGTTTCACTGAGCTCAGACATTAAATCATATAGCTTTTATTGTCACATTATCTTTCATTTCAAAATAGGAGTGGAGCAGATGTTTCTGGACTCCTGTATTCAGTCAGTAGGTCACCACACATTTTAACAGAGCTCCATTGTTACTTGGGTGGATGGTATGGTAATAACTACTTGGGACTGAGGAACAACACACTTCATAATCATTCTCACCCACTGCATGAATACCCTCGTTTCACTCCTGCAGAATTTTGGCTCCTCTTCTTCCTTCCAGACTACCTAACTGATGAGTATTGAGGGGCCACAGCAAGTGAGATCTTAGGAAAATTCTATAAGCCATAAAAATGGTTTTCCAAGTAGAAAAATCGATGCTTCTGAGTAAAGTAAAAAAGTGACAAGGAAATGAAAGAAATGGGGAAAATAATGTACTTTAAGATGCTGGGTGCAGGAGGAGCATTAGGATGTAGGAGCAAACTCTACAGTCAGAAGAATTTGTATCCCACCTTGAGGCTGAGGAAAATCTTGTTATAACTGAATATAGGCAATGAAATTAAAGGCTATGGGGAAAGTGCTTACTTTAATCCTTCCTGACATGGGTAGGAAAAGCAGCTTTGGTTGGGATGATGCAGAGCAATGATACCTCCTGCTTTTTGCTGGTGGCTATGAATATGCAATAATGCAAAATCTGAAAATAGCTGTGAGAATCATCTCTGAGCAGTGGTTTGTACAACTTCTAGATCGTTTCAGGCATTTTCTTTAATCATCCTTTGCACGTTGCTACAGTTCCTGCCTGTTGCACCTGCACTGGCTCTTCAAGGATGGGAAAATGGCATTCCCTTATCCCTCAAGGCAGGAATCCCAGTTATCTATTCAGGATACATCAAAACATATGGCAAATTAGGTGAACTGGAAACCTGAAGGGGGCAACTGAAACTCCCTCTTCTGACACCTTTTGTTTCAACACATGAGATGTGTCGTTAGTGCAGAGCAAGATTTCACAAAGATTAAGTCTGTGATTGTCACCCTAAAGCTCAGTCCCAAATTATCCCCTTAGTTCTATGATGAGCTGATGATCTTGGCTTGTACTGTTAAAAGTATTTCAAGGTTAACTCAAGACTACAAAGAGTGATGCAAGAAAAAAATCACAAGTGCTGTGTATATATTGGCTTCATTTTTCACAACCCAAACCAGGTATTTAAGAAAGCAATTTATTGGTGCTTAGATAAAGTTGTCTGTATTTGAGCAGTGATCCAGTTAATTTGGGGTGTAATAACTTTCATATCCTTTTATTTGAGTGAAATTCCCTTAGGTACTTTCCCCACTCACGTTTCTCAATATAATATTTATAGATAAGATTGGGTCAGTAAATTTGTTTCAGTCTGAAATCTTTGTGGATGATTTCCAGCAATGAGAATTGGTCTGCTTGAATTTTACCTCTGTGGGGACTTGTGTGGAACATAGTCACCCATCACCTAGGCAGCAAATGCATATTGTCTGGAAGCCATCAATACTGCATGTACTGGGACATCTCCATGACAATTAGGAACATTTTGTGTGTGCCTGGATGTAGAGATTCCAGTGTTTACCCTACAACTAATAGTTGATAATTCCTTTTATGCCTTGTACGGTTGCCTGTTATTTCTTCAGCTTTCTTTACTTCGCAAACTCAAGTGGAAAAGAAACTTGCTGGTGTCACTCAACAGAGCAGATCCTGAAGTACCTCTGGAATGTTACCCTTCTGAAGTTACATTTCAAAGTAAAATCACTTTTAAAAGCTTTCCATTTACGTGTAAAGCAGTAATATTCCTTTTTAGAATCTAGCAGAAGCTCAGAAATCTCCAGTAAAGTGATCCTGGAAAAATATTTGTCCTTCGTATGTCTTTCTTTTAACTTTCCTTCTGGGAATATAGTATGCTCTAATGTATATGGAAAAAGGCAAGTGTCAAAGGATGCCAGCAGCAGCTAAAGCTTTGCAGCAGGAATGTAGCTTGTGGTTGCATTAGGAGGGATTTGCAATCCAATCCAAGATCTTTTTTCCTCCACGAGTCAAAGTGCTGGTGCATGGCTGCAGTCCTCGAAACGGTGTGGAAATTTTATATGGAGTAGCTGTTTTCCTGGGTACGTCCGTTTGCGTGTGAAGTTCCTTCCAAGTTATCACACCATGATCAGTGATGAAGTGCTAAGCAGGATTTGGCTGTGCTCAGAACTCGCACGCTGAAGTGGGCTCTCTGGAGCTCACTAATAATCCCAGCAGGAATCCGTATGTGTAGTACGATGAGGGGTGCATGTTTCTCAAATCAGAGCTCGGGGCTGTGAAGCAATGATGCAAATAAAAACAAAATTCTTATCACTGAAATATTAGACAGGTTTGTAACAAACTTCTGGGAACAAATTAGGTTACCTGTTAATCTCAGTAACCTCAAATGTTATATTTGTACCTCAGAGGTATATTTCAAAGGAATAATTTGGAATAATAAATCTGGTCCAGGACTTTGTGAAATTTGATGATCTGTTTCATAGAAGTGAGATGTTACTGCAGTGCTAGGCCATCAGACGTCTCTAGCCATCATGCTCATGTATTTTACTTACGAAATAGAACCAAACTTGGTGTAATGCTTACAGGATTGTGGATAACCTGAGTTGCGACTAGGAGGAGCAGACTGATCCATGGATGAGGGTGACTGACAGCAGCATCCCTGTAGTTGTTCCTGTCTGTCTACCCACCTGGACAGTTTAGATCCTCAATATCAAGAACAGTTGAATAGATTTTGATTTTCCTATAAAATCTGCTGCACTTAAAGACCTGAAGTAGTTCACAGTAGCTGCTGTGTGATAACCTGTGCTGACTCATGAATCAGAAGTCTTACTTGAAACAGAAAAAAACAACATAGTCTTTGAGTATTTTGGTGTTTAAATGCCATACTAACTTGATATAGTCAGAAGACTCTGGGGCTCAAGGTTGAACTGTGAAGAAAGGGGTATTAGTAGGAAAACTACATTCTTCCCAAGACAAAGAAAACCATTGGCAGCTTTAGGATCTCACAGAAAACTACTAGGGATTGTTTTTTTCTGGTGCTGCTTTAACTAATTCCAACATCTCATTTCTTGGATCAGGGGATGTATTACAAATTGTAGAACAAGTTGTAACAATTCTGATGAAGTGTGTTGTGTTCTGTCATGATAAAGCAAATGGGAAAAACTCTTTGAAGAAATGCTTTCAGAAAGGAAAGGCAATTAGGTGTTTATCAGAATTACCTATGGAAGACATTTTCAAGTCAGGGTACCTTGTTCAAGAGATGTAGATAAGGAATATTCACCCAGTCAAGCCATAAATTGAGGAAACCAATTTATTGTATCTAGGAAACTGTTAAAGGATGAGAAGTTCCTAGTGAATGAATCTTAAAGGCGTTCATTGTCTATGTGTCCATATGGATATAGGTATATAATAATGATAAAAGTTTTGGGGATCAAAATCTACTCCTTTTCTAACCCTCCAGGGGAACCATTTGGAATCACCGAGTCAGGTTTCTTGAAGACAGAGTCCTCAGCTCCTGGACATCATTCACCATTTGGAATGCTGGCAAGCAAGGCAAGAAGCTCTACCGAAGCTTGTCACCAGCTAATCAGAAAAAGGTAAGCTAGGAAGAGTGGGTAAATCTGTACAATTCACTTCCTCCTCTTTCACATGCCTCCTTGCTGCTAACATGTTGTAGGGAACTTCTCATAGGATATTTTGTGCCCAGACTGCTAGCTGAGGATAATATAATTCTGATTATTCTCCATAATGTATATTTAAATGCTGTATTACCTTATTTAGAGAGTATGGTGTGTATGTAGAACAATACGTGTACCCATGTTCCTGCTTGCTGGTGACTAAGCACAGTAATAGATTAGACACAGTGTCTAACTGTTTATGGCCTGCTGCTGTGTAACTAACCGTGTAGCAGCCAGGTTCACAAGGTGAGTAGAATAACTCTATTTGGATGGTAAAATAGCAGACTACCTTATCCAGGGTTATTCATACCTGTATAACAGTTGCCTAGCTCCTAAAGTGGATACTGGACAGATCCCTATTGGATGCTCATCATCCTGGTTTGAATTACGAGGAGTAGTTCTACTGTAACTCCCTTTTGAAAAGCTTTATTCTTTAAAAATAGGGGTGGGGCGAACGGGCAAGTAGAAACTCTTGTACGTGACTGTCTAACTCTGTTTGCAATCAGTTGAAGATGTGGAGGTTACTTGTATTTGGCAACAGCAGATATTTCTCAGGAGAGGTTTGTCTGAGAGTTTAAACGCCTTTTATAGCACTTTTTTTTCTGTAATAACTTTTTGTTAGATAAATGCTTTAGGGCTAATGTCAAATGGCTGTTTCTTATAAAGAGCCCCATAACATTCATTTTATTACTGAATGTGTTTTTGTTTCTCAAAAATATGGATGGGAAGACAAAATGACAAATATATATATAAACCTGATTAATGTTGTGGCCCTCAGACCACACACATATGAAACAGAATAAAGTAGTTTTGTAAACCCATAGTTGAAATGAATGGACCTGAGGACACTCATACAGTAAATAGACAATTCACCAGAATTGAACCTGAATTTCCTGCTTGATACTCCAGTGCCACCCCTCTTTCATTGCCATCACGTGGCATGAAGAAAGAAGGTTCAGTGCTGGGTGTCTCCCATCAGTTACGTCATTCAAAGAGGACAGAACAGTCCATTAAATGTAGTGAGTTACCTTGGTCATGCAGTGCAGGGTGCCCGGACTTTGGGGTTGTGGAAATGTTCCCTTTCACTAGTATTTTGCAGAGCACTTTGGGAATTCCACTGACTTGCTACCAACCATTGCGTTTTTCTCTGTGCAGAATGACAAGGATTGGAAAATACGGTTCCAGGGGAAAAGATGACAGCTTGAAAAAATAGATTGTACTGGTTTTGTAGCAGTGTCTCACCGTCTGAGGGGTTGGGGTTTTGGGGGGTTTGTTTTGTTTTGTAGGTTTTATTTGTGCCAAGCCAAAATGGAGATTGATATTATGATACAACGCCTCTCTAGCTTTGGGTAACATTTGCCACCTACTTTTATAGGTGACTCAGTCAGGACTTTACATCCTGTTCAGCAAGCACAATGATAATATGAAGATGTCACTGCAGAGATGATAAAATGGGCAAGAGAAAAATAATACTGATGTGGTTTTGCCATTTTTCTGCCAAAGAACCATATCTTGCCTCTCCTTCAGCAAGAAGCAGCCGTCATTCCCGGTGTGCTAGCACTGACAGTGTGGTTCTAATTAACTGGATCTTGACGTGCTTTCCAGCTGACCTTTACATAACGTTTGCTTTGGCAGTGTTGCAGGCCATGATACTGTTTTGCTTCTGTCAAGGTTACAACTGCACATATTCCAGTATGCTTTAGTTTGATACTGAAATACTGCGTTGAGCACTAACCCATTCATGACTGGATACTATAGTAGATACATTGAGCAAGCTTACACGCCAGACACAACTGCACATGCCAAGTATGACTCATTTTGCAAATGTACTGCAGAAAACTGCTGCTGAAATGCAGTCACAGCCTGATGCTCAATACCTTACAGAGTGATCGAAGTTTATCCGCTGTCTGACATGTTTTCTGAAGTATTCAGAGGTTTTCTCAGTAAGTAATGAATAGCTTCAGAAAGTTACTTGGATCATTCTAAGTGGGATAGAGGCCTAACTTTTAGATAGCTAACTTGTGATGAAATTGGTGCTGTCTGTATTGATTAAAGTACTGGGTTTAAGTGGTTGTTCAGGTTCTTTATGATTGCCATTGGAGCTTCCTAGCTTTTCCAAAAGTGACCCTTAAGTCTATCCATCTCAGTTAAAACTGAAGCTTAAACGATATCCTAATGTTTCATAGTAAGTCATTGGCAAAAGGCTGTAGAAGTAGTTAAAACATGTCACTTCTCCACGTGCTAATCAAGGGATTACTGTGCTGGAGTTTCAGGAAATAAATTCATAAAATAGGTAATTCATGAGAGTTTTCATTTTCTTCTAAATGCATAGCAGTAAAAGGCAGGTAGTTAAACTTCATGTTCTACCTCTCAAAAATCCTTCAGGTATTTTGTGACTAATCTTCAGCTCTTGCCAAAAGACACTAAAATCCCACATGAACAAAGGCTGTAAATAGTTGTTGCTTTGTCCTTTCCAGCCCTAAAAACAATAAAACACATTTCCTGTCTCACCCTCTTAAGACTACCTTAACAAGATCTAAGCTTTCATATATTCTGTTAATTATGAGAACACTGGAGATTCAGTATCATTTTGAATCTACAAGTAGAATCTAGTGTTGTCTTGTAAATGGAGGCCCTGGGATATGAATTCATCAATTATGTGGAACAGACACCTTTAAATTACAATTCCAAAAGCCCTTAAGACAAAATATGATGTATTGCATCAATACAATTACCTTTTTCTCCTCTGAAGGTCCAGTTGTGTAAACCAGTGTGATCTTAAAAGGTCTAAAACCCTTTGAAATGCAGGTAAAACTGCCAGAATATGCTGCATAATTTAACTGAGCTGTATAATTTAACTGTCTGAATTTAATTTCAGTTGGGTTTATCCTTTTGTCAGGTTTGACTCTTGAATTTCACCTGTGCTCTGCTTCACTATTCCTGCATCCTTTTATTGAGATTGGGAATTTCATTAGATGTCGTGAGACTGATTCCAGTTGGGATGCGGAGTCACAGCACAGTTGGGACTAAGTACCTGTAGAAAATCTGAGACACACACTCCTAGAATAAGCAATAACCCACCCACGTTATATTATTATATATTATACAGCTTGTGTTGTTTGTAATTGTGAAAAGAAACACAACTGAAACCCTGAAAGTCTATTAAATCTTCAGGAAGAGAATTCCTTCGTTTGATCTGTCAAGCTTAGGGCATGCAAGAAAACATCTTTTGCAAAAAGGATCTTTCTGGTATTTTTAGAACCTGCTAAACGAGGCAGTTGTGTTTCTTACACTGACGAGGGTTTTGTGGGACGTTTGGAAAGTATAAATATACTGCATGCTGAACAGCATTGTTTCTTAGAAAGAACCGATTTTGGCCATTCCAGGAAGCAGCAGTCTGTGGATGTTCATAGTTAGTAACAAATTACTACTTCAGTTTGTTTGGAAAACAGTCTGAATTCTGAATTATGGCCCTATTAAAAGAGAAAAGGGACACCTAAGCAATATCCTCTCCTTTCCTGCAGACATCTGTATGGTGAATATTAATTCTTTGTCTCCAAAGAGTTCAGGCAAAAGTCCAAGGCTCAGTATTTTTGCTAAAGAGCAACAAAGAAAAAAGTTACTCAACTAATAGGGTTTTTTTTATGAATTCATTACCAGGACCTCAGTATTCTTAGGGAAATTCTGTTTCCTGGCTGTCCCCTTCTTGATTCACGCAGTTGACAGTGGTTCAGTATTAGCATTTCTGCAAGACTGAAGTTGAACAGACCTTGTTTTGTTTAAAACACATCCGTCTTGTCTATAATTTGCAGCTGAAGATGGAAACCAAATGTTTTTGGGATGCTGCATATGCCTGGAGGGTTTCTGAGCTGTCTTGTCTGCTCTTTTTTCTCCACCAAACTTCAGCTAAAAGGAGAGCTTCAGCATTAATATTTTGTGTCATTTCCGATAGCTAAAAATAGCATTTAAGTAGTGAACAGAAAAAGGAGGGGAAGGGATGAAATAAGCATCGGCTAATTAGTGGCATGGAAACAGTCCTAGTACAGAGCCAGGCCGTGCAGTTTCTCTATGACAACCCTACCCACCAGTGGCAGCTTGAAAGCTTCGAGGCAGTATTTTGTGCACCCTTTCTCCTAGCTCATGAGCCATTTAAAATCATCTTTTAGCTTCTCTTCGCCTTTCTCAAAGAGCAACATCTCTGAACCGTGTAGTTCAACTGGGATACTTCAGCTCACTCACAAAAGCAAGAACTGTTTAAGTCTGGTAGCATTTTAACTGCTCTAAAGTATATGACAGGCAGTGTGAGGGAGTGAAGTGGGACATATCAAAGCAAAGAAACATAAATAAAGGGAAAATTATTACATCCACCTTAACTGTGGATGAAAGAATGATGAAGGGAAAGTGAGTTAAAAGAGAAATAAGAGAATCTGAAAGCTCCAGTTAAATCCAGATGTAAAGCATCCTAAAACAACATGGGGTAAAATAGAGGCTTTGTTTTGGAGTATAGTGAATGCTTCCACTCAGGAAGATGTGCTTTTGCAATGTGTGTTTTGTTGCTGCTGTTATGGTTATTGGTTATGCTGCTGGAATAACCAATGCAGTTACCTGTTGTAGAGGAATGAGAACATGGGTAGTTGTTTGTTCTATGTAATAAGGGCGTAGTTTGTACATACAGTATTTAGCAGCTTATTTTGCATGTTGGATTCTGGTATTAAAGTTCTCTTGAGCAATGTTGCAGATGTATGTGCAAAGAGGGACAATGCTGCTATCTGTCATGGAATAGTGTCTTTAAACAGTCATGGAGTGTGTGCTTGGAGTTTAGATAACTACAGCTTCTGTTGTGGCTGTAATGCTATGGGGTGGGGAGATAAAAGCAGCACCCCGATACTGAAAATCCCTCTGACTGTGATGGAGGTTTGCTTCCTCCTATGATGGTTTCAGTTGTGGCGTACTGGAAGATGTTTATGCTTCTGCCTGTCTCTTGTTCTGTTTGTCATTAACTGTGTCTATTTAAATTTGCAACAGAATGCTTTCAGTTACTTTGTTTTGACATGAATGGCCAAAATTGATGTAACTTTGCAGAGATGTATATCAACATGCTCCTGAGGCTTTATGTGAGTTTGAATGAAAGAAGTATAAATAGAAGAATCACCAGGGTCACCAGGAGTTGAAAAGGGATGAAGGATTGCATGAGCTGTGGAGGGATTGCAACAGGGAAGATCTGCTCCTACAGGAATTTGTAGAGTTTGCAGGTTGTTGTCATTAAAGATAATTTTATGGGACCAGTCAATGCAATGAGGAGGGAGAGGGGACAGTGCAAGTGACTGCTTATCAAGAGGTTTGTCCATTTTTCCTGTCATGCTCTACTAAGTCATTCACTCTCCCTTGTAAAGCTTGCATCGTCTCCTTCCAGCCAGAGCAGATCTTGAGCATTTGCTGTGACTGTGTCTTGTTGCTTGTGGTAAATGATCACTGCAGACCTAAGGCAGCCCCCAGGTGGAAATAAAATGAGGGAATAAAATCCTCTGAAGATCATTTACCATAAATGGACATTACTGGGCCGATGAAATCTGTCAGGTTTTCCATTAGGACATGTGAGTGGACTGGGAAGTGCAAGGAAGCATCCTCTGCAGTAGCCAACAAGGCAGTAAACAAGAGAAGTAGGAAACAAGCTGAATTGGGATGTAATGGTCACACAGGTAGGTAATTACAGCTCCAGCCCAGGCCCACTCTCACTGACTTCTCGGGTCCTACGTTTGGAGTAGGATTGATCTGCTGCCCATTAATATCCTTTTACCACAGGGAGGTCTGATAGTCCCAGCCTGTGTGTCCCTTCACTCAGGGCTGTGTTTATTAAAAGGAACCAGCCAGAGAAGTGCCTTTATCTTCCTCAAACGTGTCTTCCCCTAGCAGAGATTTTTTTGTTGAGTAAATATCTTATCTTTTGAGCTGTGTAAACCGTGCCTTACGAGAGAGAAAACTCTTTTCTCCTTTTCCCCCTTCCACTGTATTTGTTAATGTATGTTGCAATCCATAGTTGTAAAAATTACTTTTGGTAATTGTAGAGCTTGTACATAACAGATATTTGTAGCTGAGGGAAATAGCAGTCTTTTTTCTTTGTTTTGGAAATACACAAGTGATGTTCAAAGCCAAAGTATGTAATCATTGATGTATTTTCTTAAAACTGAAGTGTGATCTGAGGACTCTGTAAGCTTCAATGGAGTCACGTTATCAGAGGCATTGCCAAAGAGCTAGAAGGAGAGAAAAAAAACCCATCAACTTGAGACTGCTTTATAATTCATAGCTTCCTCCCTGCGAGACAGCAGTTCATGTATGGATGGATGGTCTTCATAAAGGTACAAGAAAGAAGCTCATTAATGCAGGAAAATAAATAGGTAACTCTGGGTTTATCCTATAAAGTAAATAGCTCAAATAAACCTCGTGCCGTAAGTTCACTGTCCAGATAAACAACTGTGCACAAGTCCTGTATTTAGGCTCCAGACAGATTTTCTTTAATTGGAAAATAAATGGTGTGTGTCAGAAAAACATTGACTTACGTTTTGGCCACCCACATGGTGCACAGTCTGGCAGAAAAATTGCCCATTCAAGCCTGACCTGGTTTAGAATACTGTAAATATCAGATTTAAGCTGGCTGAATCCCTTGGGAATTATACATGGAGATGCCTTATTGGTAACTCAAGGAAAGGTTTGAGTCATTTCCATGTTCCAAAGCGAATCTGTCACAGCCTGACCTGTGGAGTTAGCAAGGGTTCCATGTGCTGCATCCTCTGGGGCTGGGCAGTTGGCTGCAGCATTTCCTACTCATGGTAGTATGAGTTATGGCAGAGGATGAGAGGAAGTATCGTGAATATTAGTAATCTAGTGATACAAGAACCGTCTTTGCTTCTCTGGCCTCATTCATTTTAAGAAGGAATCCACGCACCAGTCAGGTTTCTGTTAACTGTACCGCAGTGTGCGGAAGGTGAATGATGTGACACTTTCCAGCACAGATCTCGCAGCTGCATTCTCAGTTACTGACATTAAGGTGTAGACAGAATTTCACTTTGCCTTATGTCAAAAGTTTTGGCATTTTGGTTTGGTCTTTAAAATGTACAGGAGGATAAGCAGCTGAAAAAACAGCTTCAGTTACTGGAAGGTAAGTCAGTGTATTGGACTGTGTTTATTCCCAGAACTCCGTTGGGTGGGCAGTGAAGACCTGTCCTGCTGAATTTTGTTTGTGGTGAGCTTCTAGGACAGTGAAACATTAATAGTGGATTTCATAGAATCCCAGCCTGGTTTGGCTTGGAATGGACCTTAAAGCTCATACAGCTCCAACCCCTGCCACAGGCAAGGACACCTTCCACTAGAGCATCTTGCTCCAAGTCCTGTCCAACCTGGCCTTGAACGCTGCCAGATTTGCAGGATATTGGAGAATTTAAAGGTGGTTAACACAGAATGAAAAGTAAACAGCAAAGGAACTTCTCCCCAGTAGCTTCCACCTGCCTCTCTTCATATATATATATGTATATATATATGAAGAGAATATACACACACACATATATACATGTGTGTATATAGACATATAAGTAAGATGGGTACAGGAAATCTTGTGATGTAGTTTATAATGCTCAGGCCACACCATCTAATTTCTTTTTAGCTACAGTAATGCATTACAGTGGACATAGAAATAGGGTCAGAGATGTAAAGTGTATTAACTTGTGTTCAAGAGAAAATGAAAGCTTAAAGATCTTTTGTCTTTGAGGGAGTTGCTAATGGTTGCTGCCTTAAGGATTTGGATAGCAAACTGTTCTGTTGGATGGGAAGGTATCTCCAAAGTACTTTTAATGTAGAAACACCTTTTATGTTGCAGGAGCATACAGCTCTGTCTGGCCATTGCCGGGAAACACCTGTAACACGGTTCTGGTCCTCTGCAGTCTTGCCCTGGGGCTGTCAAGGTGGCATGATGCACAAGTGCAGCCTGATGACTTGTGTCAAGAGTTTTCCTCTGCGCAAAGCCAATGAGGTCACTTTAGGTAAAAGAAAACTATCTTAATCACAGGAAGAAAGTGTGAGAGAGGTCTGCAGGCACAGGAAGAGAGCCAGCCTTTTGCAGCCTTCTCTAACTTAGTAAATTAATAAACAGCTGTTGGGCTTTTCACATTCTCTCAGCAGTAAGTGTTGTGAATCAATTTTTAATGCAGCAATTAAAAAGATAGGAAAACTGCTATCCAGCTTTCACCAGAAGAATTGATTTCTGCAAGTTCTTAACTGAGTTAACTGTTCTGCTTCAATGTAAGAGTTTGGTGTTGGTAATACGAGTAGCTCAAATGGAAGGCAGAGGGAAACAGCTATGTTACTGACAACCTATTGGTTCAAAAATGAGGCCACTGTGTAGTTTGGATTGCATTTATTCTGCCTGTATATTTATGAGGAATGCAAATAGAAAACCATGTAAAATATTTGGCAATTGGGGCTGCAGATAATGCTTCCATAACTATAGTAAGAAGAACCAAAATGAAGCAGTAATGATACGTGTTTAAATACCAGATCTGCTGAACTTTTCAGTCCAAACCCACAGGAATTCCCACACATGGTGTGTCATGACCTAGAATTGGGGCTGGCATTACCAGAGCATCCAAAGCAGTAGTGTTAGGACTGCAATACTGAGCTATCTGGTGGTAGATAGCTTGCGGTGGGTGGAAGGAGGAGGGTTTGTATTATCTAATCTTAGGTGTTAGTGGAATTAAGTGCCAAAATGAGAAGGCTACTTTCTGGTTGTACTTTACTTGGCATATTGCTGAGGATGAAGTTGAAGATCTCACAGATGTTTTGTCTCGTGCAGTAAGTACCTTAGATCCCCTGTTCTCATGTCTGTAAAAACATCGTGCTCATGGGCAACTGCAAAATGCATCCATCTCCTGATGATACGCCTGGAAAGGATCTAGTAACTGTTTAAGCTCCATAGGAGGACTGAGGCATGTTGCCCTGTTTCTGCATTCATTCATGTGCCTGTAGTGTTACTGACGCAGATACACTGCAGGTGAAATACCTGTGGCAGCAAGGGATGGTACTGAAATGCTCCATTTCTATTTGCAGGTAACTGCGTTTTGTGATGTGGATGAAAAGAAAATAACAAAAGGATTCTACACTTACGAGGAATCTGAGGTTAGTTCTTTACTGTGATCTGAAAGGGGTCTGGGCAAACTGATTTTAAATCTTGTATGGCTACTCGTTCTGATAAGGAAGCTGTGACAGCAAACTGGATTGTTGGGGATTGATACTGGAGTGCAAACAATGGAGCCAGAGCTATGGAGCTCACTGAAGTCAGTTCAGAGAGACAAACCCAGATATACTTTGGAAGGATTCTGATGTAACAGGGTAACACACAGCCCTCACTAGTAAGTTTCTTTCTTTTAAGTGGGAGTAGAATTTGGCTCATGATGGATAAATTCAAATACCTATTAAAATAAAGCAAGCTTCTGTGATTAGCTGTAACCTATCTGTGTACTATAGGGTATAGTGGATCTGAACAGAACTTTAGCAGGTTCCTTAGCAGCTTAGAATTGTAAGCAGCAGCATTTTATTCCCTAGACAAGGAAGTATAGTATTTAGATGGCAGTAAAAAACAAGATGGGGGAAAAAATGTCTTGTTGCAGCCTGGGTTGGCCTGACCCTGCACTGCCCTCAGCCACACACTCCTGCTGTGGTGTTATTGTGGGCCATGCAGGCTGGTGGCTCAGGGGTGACTGGATTCAGTGAGCTGATCTGGCAGAAAAGGAACCTTCCAGATAAAAGGCTCTCCAGTGAGTTATCTTGTGAATCAATTACCCTGAGGTTGCATGATCCTTGTATCTGATGGGAGTAGGACTGAGGTGAGGAGGGGCACGTCCTCAGATACACAGCTTGTGGTTATACCACAGTAACTGTAACATCAAGGACAATACTGGGAAGCTGATGAGTGCTTTCAGCTGCATGAAAGAAACTGGAGTTTGGGATTTTGACCTGGAATCCTGAGGACTCGCTACCTAGCAGTGTAGTGATACTGTCAGCGTAATTGTTACAGCTTCTGTGCATTTGGCTTCCTAAGACACAGCCATGCTCCCAGAGCAGTCATGAAGATTGTACTGCAAACTGTTGTGATTCCTTAGCAAATTCTGCAGCTTGGCTCCATGGTGAAGTCCCAGTTGGGCACAAGCCATTCAACAGCTCCCACTGAGAGGGAAGGATTCTCCTTTGTACCCACTTTGCTTTGATGTGTCTGATGGCACAGTAAGCGATGCAGCTCACTGAAGTGGCAGAAAATTAACCTACCAAAAAGCCCCATATTATTTTATGGGGTAGGCTATTAGAGCAGCATACCTGGCCATCAGATCTGAGAGGGAATTGTTTGGGAAAGGGCTAAAAGTAGAGCTTGGAAGTAAAGGAAAAAGTGGTGAAGGAGCAAGACCTTCTCCTTCCAACAGCAGAAGGCCAATTCAGATCTGGTGTCATCTGCAACGCTGGGCAAAGAACTGTACTGAAAGACTGTGGTAAGAACAGGGGGGTGCTCCAGCCAACTGGGAAACAAATGAGTTAGCGATCAGCTATTTAGTGTATAGTCTCAATGTTTCCCTGTTAGTGTTCAGTAGCTTCTAAAAGTAAGCTCAAGTAGCCCTGTGTGCCTCTGCTGAACCCTACTGCTTCTTCTTGCAGGAGAGACCAAAACCAAGAGTTCCAGTTTGTCACTTCAGGGATGCAATTCCTCCCTTCATTATCTGCGTGAAGCTGGTGAGTGCCACCTTCAGCCTTTGCTTTACATTTGAAACTGGCATTTGCTCCTTACAAATACTACGTTCCATTTACTGCAAGTAGCTTTTCCCAGAACCTTGTACTAGGAAATTGAATGGCTTTTTAACCAGATTGATTGTGCTGAGTATTTTGGGGGTTTAGGACAGCAGTACTAAGTAGAGATGTATTAAGAATAATGAAAAGTTCAGCTTCTGTAAAGGAACTTGGATTTGTTTTACTTTCTTGCCCAACATTATATACACAAATGGGCAGATACAGTTATCACCTGGCCTCATTTAGTCCTCATATTTCGCAGCCCTATGTATGACAAAGGCTTTGGTTTCTAAATCAGACCTGAAAAACTGTTTGGTTTTGCCTTGCCGATTCCAAAGTGCCCAACTGTGGTAACTTTATTTCAGCTGCTGTAATTGACCTAGTAATGTAACTAGAAGATGATAACCAGCAATTATTTTGCCCTTACATTTAAAATAGCAAAGCACAGTGTATGGGCTAACACTGAAGTTTTAAAGCAAAATACAAATACATTTTAGTTGTAAGCATTAGTAAAAAGTCTGACATAACTAAACCTGTATCTAGATACAAATACTGACACCCCAGCACTGTCCTGCATCTGTGCAAAGATCGATTAGCTGAATCTCGTCTCATCTGGTACAGTCTCCTTTTAACTGAGCACTCCCAACTTTATGATTGACTCTGAGATCATAACTATGAGTTGTAAAGCCAGACTGAAAGTACCTTAGGGCATTATCATGTACTGTTGGTTGATAAACTCTTGGATAAGCTAGTAATATTACAACTAATTTAACTCTTCATACTACATATAATGGTGGGTGGAAGTCCCTAGACAAAACATCTGTGCAACCTGTTCTATAAAGCACATTTAATTTGTGAAGCCCTCACAATGAGACACTAATACAACATCTTGTCTGAAAACTCTGGTCCACAACTTCAGCAGAAATGCTCAGAAACACTGCAGTTGCTATGCTTTCTCTATGCCATCATCACTGCTTTGCACAATTGCTCATGGAGCAAACCCACCCAGCTCCTGGTCAGGTAATGTAACTAGGGCTCAGAGCAAACCTTTCCCTATGCAAAGTATTTCAGCTGCCTGATGAGAGGTTTCTTTTGTCAGACAAGCTACCCCTTGTTCAGAATCTTCAAAACCACTCCAGTGTCAAACTTACCCCCTTGGTCCATTCTCTGAGGATGCATTAAGGACCAAAGTGTGCAAAAACCCTGCAGAGCTGTGCCCGGTATCGCCCTCCTGTTCCACACTGCAGCCTGAGAAGGAGTTGTCTGACACCCCCCCAAATACTTACTTGACCTTTCAGGTTTTCAGCATACACTTAATTTTTGAATGGAAACATTTCTGAGCCTGGCTTTTTGTTTATGGTTAGTTCTGCAAATAGGACTTTCTTCTGTGGTCTAAAGACCAGAATTACCCAAACCTGTTACAACCTGAAACGTGTTTGTCTGGTTGAGCTCATTCTATTCTATCACCTGCCAGGATTTGACAGGTGGAGCATTTGAAGCAAACCTGAGCATGCTGAACTTGAAGGAAGGGGTGGATTATTATCACTTTAACTGAAAACCAAGGTAAGGCAGTGATACTGAAGCCGTGTTATCCTCTGTGCATCTGTGAGTACCAAGACCCAAGTGTTCAGAGGTTGAGAATTTTTTAGCAATCTGTGCTTTATTAAGTTAATCTTTGTGCTGAGCAACCCCTTTCTAAGGGGGGTCCTGGTTACACCATGGATAATGCTATTTGCTCATTTTACTATTGCACATCCCTTGTTTGCCAAGTTCAGTTTGATCGTTAAATTGTATTTCTAATTTAAAGAACCATCCAATACAGGCCATAAGATTACAAGGGGACTGTTACCATAGGGAACCCTTAGAAATGCACTAAGCAAAGCCTGTAACCACTGGAAGTGTAAAGAGAGGGTTCTGTCAAACATCACTCAGCCATTCCCTGCCACTGGATGCCGCAGCCCGTGCTGGCTGAGGTAAAGCTCTGCACAGGGCCAGGCTGTGACCGGAGCGTGGCATCCTCCAACTGGGGCTGTGTGAAAGTAGCTGTGTGTGTACCGTCATCTGGCAGCCAGATGTGTTTGCATGGACAGATGCTCACCGTTTTCACTGGACCCTCTCAGCTTTTCCTGAATAAGCAGCTACTGCCAACACAACTCATGGTTTTTCTTGCAGCAGGGACCTGTAGGAATAACTTTGCAAATCTGAAGTCTTTTAAGAATGTTCTAGAATTTTCCATTTTAATGACAGTGCAACACCACTGGGGCTGTGGGTTCACGAGCATTCCTCCTGCAGTAATACCTGTGGGCAGCCCTGCATCACGCATGGCCACATGAATTAGTACTGATTGTGTAACAGGCAGTGAATGACTCTGATCTACACTGAATTTAATCTCCCAGCCAGGTTGCAAGTATACTTAAAAGTACAGAATAATAGAATTTATAGTTACCTTCTTAAAAAGGCTCTGGGAGACAGCCAGGATGTAGTTTTGGAAGTGAACAAACACCTGCAGGAGAAGATTGCTGCAGTTTGTAGCAGGTATTTCATAGAGAAACTGGCTTAGGTTTAGCTCCTCTGCCTGAATTTTTCCTTCCTTTTAAATCTTCATAGATACGTGTATACACACACACACACACACACACACACACACAGAGCTATTGTTCTACCTGAAGCACTGGGATAGTGAGATTTAATTCAAACCATCAAATAACATGGTATAATTAGAGTATCATGTTGCCCGTGCATTTGTCCTCCCCAGCACATTAACCTTGCTAAAGATCATAAATGTTACCAGCCATTTCATTTTATGGTCAATAAGGAATGGTCTAAATTCCTAGTGGTTGCTGGAAGTACTCTGTTCTTCAGCGGGATAAAGCTTCAATCCCTAACGCTAGTTTACCTCAAAAAACATTTACTTTGAGTTACTTCTATAAAGAACTACTGAGAGGTTTTGACTTGAGCTGAAGTGAAACTCGGATTTTTTTGTTTTACTATGACATAAGTATGACAGATTTATCCGCAGAGATACTGGATGTGCAGGAAGATTTCATTATCACTAAGCACTGCCATACTTACCTCTGAAAAACAGTTCTTTTCAGAGACTAATGCAGCCAGGCAGGTTTAATACTAAATGCATGTACAGCAAGCACGGCCTGAATAGCTCCATTCAGAGTTGTAGAAGTATAAATCACTGACATCAAGAGAAATAACCTAGGTCAACTGTGACAGAAGTATGGAGAGAAACCGCCATCTTGTGGCTACAGGTAATGCCTTTAAAAACTGAAACCACATTGAATCGTTGTTGCCTGCCCGTGGCAGAGCTGCACAGTGCTGTAAGATGTGATCTCTGCCTCTTCTCTTGTTCAACAGCGTGCTGCGTGGCTTCTGCCGAGAGCCCCTTTGTCAGGATGCGGCAGCATGAACTCGGCCATCTTAACGGCACCTGAACCCAGAGCTTCAGTGGACGGACCAGCAGCCAGTGCCTGCAGCTTCATCATGCTGAGCTCTAAAAGAGAGAAGAAACACATGGAGTAGGCATGTATCAGTGTTTTAACAGTACCTCAGCCATGTAATTTAGTAAGCTAAACATGGAGAAGAAAACATAGACGTACAAAGCTGTAGCATCTACAGTCCTTTCTAACACCGCAATTTCTAACTATCCTCTAGCAGATTTTATCTGTACAAGTTTTAAAGGCACTGTAAATGCTGATTTCAGCTGAAATTAACTTTAGCCACCTGTTAGGCTTGGCTTCCTCTATTTATGGGAGCTCTGGAAGAGCAATGTGTTGTGCACTGTCACTTTCAGAGTGAACTCCAGCAGTTCTCGGGCAGGTGCAGGCTTCAGTCTTTGCTGGAAGTTATACTAATGATTCTCTCATGTTAACAAAGGAGGAAAAGATAAAGTTCCAAATTCAGCACCTGACTTCCACACCACATGATGCTGTTTGTAACAGTTCCACCTGAAACACCTGTATGTATATTTGGGTATTTCTTACTGTTTTGTGTGCATCAGAGACAGTTTTCTCCTAACTTGTCAGTCTTCTCTCAGCCTCCAGTAATTAACGAATTCAAATAAGGGGGTTTTGAGATCAGGGAGTTCATCTTGTAACAAACACCTTTATTTTGAACGTAACAGCTCTGGTGGTTGACAGCAAACCCTGACTCAGCAATGCTCAGAGCGATTTTTGCTCTAAACCCAGTTCCCTGTAGGGGTGAGAGGGCCCAGGTCTTGCTTATCAACATCACAAAACTGTAGTTGCAGATTGCTTAAGGTCGTACTAAAAGCACAAAGGTGTAGACATGGTAGGAAAAGCTGAAAGATGAGAAAGAAACTGCTGTGGGCACAGCAGGGTGTCACTGAAGTTTACTCACCGTAAGTAACCAGTGAAGTATGGTCTTCTGACCAGTTTATTAAACAGACCTTTTTAAAGTGTGTGTATATATGTATATATATATGTATATCTCTATCAATCAATGATAACTCAAAACATAGGATCTACTTACATTAGGAAGTATCTTCAGTGTAAAGGATTATCAGAGTATTACACAGGAGGAACTGGCTGACCTCAAAGACTTACATCATGTAACAGTCACATAGAGCCAGTTCAACAAGCACTGTGAAAACATCACCAGCTAGGATCTCCTTTAGATGCTATGCAGGAGAAAGGACTTGGTGGCTTTCAGCCACAGATGGTGCAGCTGTGAAAAAGGCTAATGCTAAAAATGCAGTTCTGTGCAGGGCAAAAGAATAATCAATGGTTTGCATAACTCTAGTAATGAAAATAAACCCAGTGTGTTCAGGTAGTTTAGAAAATGAGGGAAATGAAGATCCACCCTTTTAGGAAAGATTGCAGGGGGGATGTTTCTGAATTCTAAAATAATTACAAAGGACAAAGCATTCCAGAGCTATGAAAGCATAATGAGTATTAACAAAGGCAAGAATAAATCAATATACCACTATTTTTAGCTTAATCTGTTTACAGAATAGATCATATGCTGTGGATGCCTGTGGTAAGTAGGGAAGTAGCCCTAGGTCATCGAGCATTTTCACCTTGTCTTGTATCGCTCAAAGTAAAACTAACTTTTCTTTGTAAGTTGTCATGTTAACACATGTTCTCTAAAGCAGTACTGATTCAGCCTGCTCACCTTTGGACAGGGAGGAGAGGAACCCCTGACTGAGCAGAAAATGGGCAATTCCAAAAGATGTGCATGAAGTGGGGCCTACATGGGGACACGGTGTCTGCCTTCTGTGAATGTATTAATTGTTAAATTCTATTCTGCCTCTTAGGCAATGTCAGAAGGCTCTGCTTTCATCTCACATTATCATTTTGCTGTTGAACTTGATGGGGAGGGTTTTATCCGTTCTTCTCTTGCCCCAGGAATGTCAGTGTCTGAAACATCCGTACTGCATTTTCATTCTAGGTGATGCCATGCTACAGGCCTGGGATGTTTTCAAGAAGCAAGACTGGAAGGGCTCAAGCCAGAGAGTCTCCAGCAGTTCTCTGTATTGTGCAATCGGGTGTGAGGAGGTTCCTCCCGAACCAGTGAAGAACCACAGCTGGCGCACACAAGTACTCAGTAGGTGTGGGGGAGCGGTTGATCATCACTGTTTCTCTAAAGCCCCTCTGGAGCCTGTTGCTTTTTCTTACCTTGGACACCAGCTGTGGCTTGGGCACGTTCATGAGATCACAGAGGCAGTTGCGCTTCTCTCTTACGACGGGCAGTTCTGCCTCCCTGCATGAGGAAGCATTGTCCAGTTAACTGATACATAAAACCTGGCTGTTAGCTATATCCGTACCATCACTGTACTGTGTGTGCAGCTCTTCCTTCATGTACAGTTGGAGCAGGTTTTGTTGTGTCACGGTTTAAGAGTAACATTTTTGTACCATCTTGGGGCAGACACCCCCTAAGTACACAGTGAGTCCTCCACGAGTGACCAGTTAATGGTAAAATGACCAAGGCTATTCTTTTTGGTTTCTGTAGTCCAAAATCTAACACTCATACACCCCTTTGACTGAAAGTTCAATCATTTATTCTCTAAAGTCACAGCTCCATTTTGTTTAAGAAGACTTTGCATCAAGAATTAAGATAGATGTCACTGGATCTGGAGAACGTTTGATGTTCTCCTGCAAAATCCAGACCTCGAACTTGTCTTTTAAAGGTTTCTGCAATAGCATCATGTCCATGAGATCATTTCCTCAAGAACTGTCAGTTACAAAACGCTCCCAAATGCCAAAAATCCATGCAGACAACATTCTTTTCCATGCTGTAAAAATCCACCACTCTGGAATGCTGTGAGACTGCTCCCATTACTCACCATTTCAGTAGATTTGTTTTGGTTTTCTTGAGTAACAACTGTAAATGAAGGACTAAGAACTTAACTCTTAGCACACAAACAGAGTCCAAAACTACAGAGAAAAAGCTGAAAGGGCAAGTCAGAAATAACTTTGGACAATTTGTCATATTTAATAGTGGAACCCTTTCTGTAGCTGAACAAACTTCTTATATAGAGTTACCAGTTTAAACTCTGTATTCTACAACTGTTTGACAAACTCTGTTGTTCCAACAAGGAGCAAATCTGTGCAGCCAGTAATTAGTCTTCCCCAAACATTAATTCTCATTTGGCTTCCTGCTGTTAACGCTTATTGCAATTCAGAAGTTACTGGTTGTTCTAGCACTGAGAGCACTTGAGAGTAACAAGCAGCCCTCTCTGACACTCAAGCAAAGGCTTCAAATGTCTCCTTTGTAAACAGTTAAATCTATGAGATAAAACAATTAAGTTTGAAGTGAACGAGCTCTTCATCTTTAATCTTGGTGCAGTGGATGTACTGTACTGGGGAGCTTAGAGCCAGCCCTGAACTAAGCACAAACCAGGCAGCCCCATCACACCCTGGAAGTGACAAAGGGAAAACAGGAAGTATTTTGCTTTCTTGTACTAACCCATTAGAGCTGTCCTACCACTGGTGCTTCTAGAGCTGGTTGTCTGTAAGTGTACCATGTCTAACTGTGGTACTGTGAGCACCCCTGTGTGACATCAGGAATCTGCTCCTCCTCAGTTGTTTCTGTGACCAAATTCTTTATGTAACTTCCTGGGGAGAAGGACTTGGGGGTGCTGGTCACTGAGAAAATGAACATGAGCCAGCTTCAGTGTGCACTTGCAGCCCAGAAACCAACTGTATCCTGGGCTGCATCAAAAGGAGCGTGACCAGCAGGTCAAAGGAGGTGATCCTGCCCCTCTGCTCTGCTCTTGTGAGACCTCACCTGGAGCATTGTGTGCAGTTCCGGTGTCCTCAACATAAAAAGGACATGGAACTGTTGGAACAAGTCCAGAAGAGGCCATGAGGATGATCAGGGGCTGGAGCACCTCCCGTATGAAGATAGGCTGAGAAAGTTGGGTCTGTTCAGCCTGGAGAAGAGAAGCTGCATGGAGACCTCAGAGCAGCCTTCCAGTATCTGAAGGGGGGCTATAGGGATGCTGGGGAGGGACTCTTCATTAGGGACTGTAGTGACAGGACAAGGGGTGATGGGTTAAAACTTAAACAGGGGAATCTTAGATTGGCTATAAGGAGGAAATGCTTTACTGTAAGGGCGGTGAGGCACTGGAATGGGTTGCCCAAGGAAGTTGTGAATGCTCCATCTCTGGCAGGGTTCAAGGCCAGGCTGGACAGAGCCTTGGGTGCCCTGGTTTAGTGTGAGGTGTCCCTGCCCATGGCAGGGGGGTTGGAACTGGATGATCTCAAGGTCCTTTCCAACCCAAACTATTCTGTGATTCTGAGCAAGCCTGTTCTTCAACTCAGATTTCATGAGGGAGCACTGCATCACACTAACTGTGATACTAAGCACCAATGTGTAGTTACACAACAGGCATTTTAACAACAGCAGAACTGTTAATAACCAATTCTTCAAAGCTGAGACCGTTACTGAGTTTTGGCAGCAGCCATCCCTTACAATGACAAACCTCGTTTTCGTTTCCCAAATACGAAGTTACTTGAGCTCAAACACAGAAATAAACTAGACAGTAAATAAATTTAAATGATGTAAGCATCAGTCTGAAAAATGTCACCCACAACCCCGAGGTAGCTTTGTTCTCTGAGCGTGTCTTGCTTTATTTTAGTTCCATGAAATGTCAATGAAGACAAAAACCCATTTAATAACCAAATAAATAATGTATTTTTTTTTATAGCTGTCTATTCTCATGTACTGACTACTGCTTGAAGCAGGGTGTTGGGCCACTGCACCCATGACCCAGGAGCATCATCTGGAACAAGGAACCACATTTAACATGGCAGCAAAACTAACAAACTGATTTAAGCTTTGGTGAATCCTTCTTTGGAAGAAGGGGCCCTGCTCCCCTGCCCTTGGAGGAAGGTAAAAGGAGGTAAATGAGTGAATTACAGAAGTGGTTGTATAATTCATGCCATCTTATGCTTGGGAAACAACTAAACTGTTCCAATTCAAAGTATTTGCCTGAATACAGGGTTTGTAGTGTTTTGAGTAATGACATTTCATGGGAGATTTGAGCTGTTCTGCTAATTCTGTTGTTCTGCAGCTTGCAGAGATCCTTCCTTTCCCCAGATCCTGCCAGTGCTCATCATGCCAAGAAACTGTCTGTGCAGTTGATGTCTGACTGTGTGCACAGCCCGGTCTCTGCTTCATGGAGAACTTCCAAGATTCCCTCCCTTTTTATGTTGTTAAAAAAATATGGGTCTTTTACTTTATCTAGTAGTGAATTTACACATGCCACAATGGTACGTGGTGCATATACATATATGTATATAAAACACACAAACATACATATATATTTTATATATATATATATATATATATATGCGCATACACACGCACAATGGTACCACAGGACAATATACCAGATAGCTCTTTAGAACAGAAGAATCCTTTCAAGCAATGTTTTTTTTTGGCCTAAAAGCTATAAATAGCTTAAAAGCAGGTATCATTTCTTTCAGGTTTCAAAGGCATCCAACTTTTATTTAACTTCTTAGTACAAAAATTACGAGTTCTTATCACTATCTGGCAACAAATGCACTTACCAGTTGGTATCGCTGAGTATGGTCAGAACTGAATCCATGATGGCAGCATCCAGCACATCGCTGTAGGTTATCAGCATCTCATACAGTTGGCTGGCTGTTGTTTTCCGTATCTATGGGAAGAGGCAGAGGAAGGTCACTGAAGGCTGCACAGCCACGTGTGGCAGAGCCCAGTGCCACCGCTGGGACTGGCTCCTCATCACAGGGACAGCAGTTTATGGTGAGCACTTTGTTACACTCAGGAATGGACAGACTAGTTCTGCCTCTGACATGGATCCGGTGCAGGAAGGGAGTTTGCTTTTGCACCTCCAGGAAGTTCATGCTACTGAACAGTGCATTTTCACTGCCCTTTTCCAGTGTTTCAGATTAAGGGTACAGCTCAGTGCCTCACAGGGAATGAAGTCAAATGTTTGAGACTGACCCATCCCTGGAAGCCAGACTGGATGGAGCTCTTAGCAACCTGAGCTTGTTGAAGGGGTCCCTGCTCATTACAGGGGGGTTGGACTAGATGAGTTTTAAACTTATTCTATGAACTGGACAATTTCTTTGCTTGAGGCAGAGTCTGGCTCTGAGTTGGGCTGCTGCAGGCTCACAGAACAGACTTCCAGCCTGGAGACTGTAAGAGTCAGCAGAACTCTCAAAACCTGCTGGGAGATGGATGGTGAGTTGACCTGAACATTTTACACTGTGGGTTCTGGAAGCAGTGAACACTGCAGCAAGGCTGGTTCTGAAGTACAGTGTGTGGCAGGATACCTAATGGAAGACAGCAAAAGTGCAGCAAAACCTGATTCTGTTGTTTTTTTCCAGGAAACCCTGATGCTAAGCAAAGGAAGGCAAAAAAAATGAGGTTTAGTAACTCTAGGCTTATTTCTGGAGTAGTAGAGTCCAATTAAACTGACCCATCTGTAAAAGCAAAACATATTTATGATATAAAACACCAATGGAACACGAAATGGAAATGTTCTCTGTTCAGTTCTTACATTGTGCCCTTCCTGCAGAGGATTCTTCCTGTAGCCAGTACACACAGCATGGGAACAGCTGCAGTAAAAATCTGCAGTCCCAGCCTTTGCCGAGCACCACCTGATTTTAACCTTTAAAAGTAACTGGCAAAGTAATCAGGGTTAGCATAAACAGTGTTGGGTTGCGTTGGCCAAACACCAGGCTCTTCAGGGGGTTCTCCAACCACTTCAGGACCTCATGGGTTGCCATTGCCCATGGCTTTGTTTCTTCTACAGCGCTTGGCTGTGGATGCAGCTCCATGGCTGCCCATAACATCAGAGGTGCAAGTCCTACCTACTCACAGGAACATCCATCGACGTCCCCAGGGGAAACCTTGCACAGAACACCAGGGCTACATGGAGCTGTTGGATGTGTTTGGCATCACAGCAGCTGCAAGCCAGGGATCCTGGGTTTTATATGGTGAAAACCACCCCAAACCCCACAACGTTTGCTAAGGCAATGGAAGTATTAATCAATCAGCTAAGATATTATTATACCCCAGATGATCTTCTCTTGTACATACTTGGAACTAAGAACTGATTTTTGTGCCCTGTTGCAGTTAGTTACATGAAAAGGTAAACCCCTGATAAACCTGCCTGCATTGCACAAGCCCTCGTCACACCTGACAAACACAACAAATAAGTATGTTTTTCTTGAACCAGAACTATCAGAAATACCACAAAGCTAACAGGGATGTGTCTGATTGGAACCCTCAAGCTCTATATGGAGAACAGATCTTCACTGTGCTGGGTGCTGAGCAGAAGAAACAAATGACTTAGGCACCTAAATTGCTTCTTACTTTCCACAGAGGTGGAAAAGCAGACTGTATGGAGCAGTCAGGTATGCTGCAAGTATCCGGCAGCCTGTTTCAGGTGGCAGCACTGCAGACAGCAGAGCCTTGAGAAATGAAACCTATTGTATACACTGATGTCCATTACAAAGAATGCTGCTTTGATGCAGATTATTTTTTATGTGTGAAGTATTTTAAACAATACAGTTGACAATACGCAGTGTCTTCAGTACTTACTACAGGAAATGGATGGCAAAGGAGGAGAAACAACTGAAAGAAAACTTTCTCTCTCATGTCTCCTTGAAACTGAATCAGGCCACAAAACCTAGAAAACACAAGGAAGAAAACAGATCGAGTTGGACCTGCAGAAGTGCATTTTGCGGGTGAGAAGGAAGAGGTGTATCTGAGAAAAGGGAGGGATGCTCTGCAGTGCCCAGGAAATCTTGGTTCCAAGTGCTGTGGGAAAGCAAACACTGAGGTACCTGTGCCGAGTTCCCAGAGGGCTCCTGAGGTGCCGCTCGCTGTGCCAAGTGCAAACATGGTGTGACTGCTGACGGGCAGCACTGAGGGCGCGCTGGGACCCGCACGTGAACCGGCATCACATCGACACCGAAGCACAGGGCAGGCTTTGCCAGTGGAGAAGTCTCCCAGTGAACCTTGGTGCTGCCTCCTCTGCTACCTGGACTGAGGGCTTTTACCCTGGAGCTAGATGTGTTTAACCCCAGTTAAACAAGGAAAGGAAGCTCTCACAACTTTCTATTATGTATGTGTATTTGTGGGCTTTTTTCAATTACATTTCACATGAAATAGACCCAGCTCTTCTATCTGGTAATTTAAATTCTCTTCACTTCGTACAAGCAGAGCAAAGATTAGTTTATCGACTCACACTCCGATGCTAGAGCGAAGCTTCCGGATGTCTTTGGATCTCTTGATCTCTTCTTTACAAAGGGTAAATAACTTCACTGGAAAGGGATGGCTGAAAATGGGAAAGAAGAAGAGATGAACAATCAGTTCCAGTAGGATTTCAAACACATTTAATGACTGTAAAGGTACCAAATTAACATTCAAAGGTGAGGAAAGACTGTGCAGAGCAAGGAGTGCTTTCTCCACAACAGCACAGTATCAGGCTGGCCTTTGGTAGAGCCACAGGCAAGTCTGGCTACCACCTCACTGGGTGTTTTTGGGTTTTAATAGGGAATGGATTAGCATTAATTATTACCCTATTTCCACTGCTACAACCTGCATGCTGAGGACTGAACTCCATTTACCCGACCCAGCAGATCCAGGATACCTGGCTAGCCATGGCTGGTGTTTGCAACAGAGCGTGGTAGGATGAGGAACACCATGTCAGGAATTACAAGACATAGCCAAACAGAGGTTATTTAGTCCGTGTGTCACTGTGGTGCGCAGGTCGTTCCCTAAGGGCTTCCACCAGACTTTACCTACAGGATGATAAATGCTGTTCTTAAACACTCCACCATTTCACTGCCTGAATTCCTTCGGTGATGCCAGACAACGCAATTAAACACAGGGCTTGAGCCCCGTTACGTATCCGAGCCACGAAGCCAGCTTTAAATACGTTGAGCAAATTCTTTCCTCTTTCCACACCGCCTGGGAAAGGTGATTCCCACAGCTTTTTCCCAGCCACTCATACAAACACAAGCATTGTCAGGATATTCCAAGGAGCTATTAAAGAGACGTAAGGAGGGAATATTGCTTTCATTTCAGTTCAAATGGTTTAATCTTTTACTTGCTACACTCAAAGCTGGAGTGCTGCAGATGCAAAAGAAACTCTTTCCTATTTGTCTAGCAGCATGATTAACTTCGGGGCTGCGTATTTTGGAGGACTCTCTGTACTGTGCAGAAAGCAAAAACAGTAACATCCATTTGCTGCTACTGCGATGCAAAGCTGTGGAGGAAAACTGCTCCAGAGAGGTGTGCGGCATGATCTGCTGGAAAAAAAGACCATTTAAAACAAGCTGTTTATAGGAATGACACAATGTTTTGTGACCTTAATGCGCCTTTTACATGCAGCTTCCCTAACAAGAACTGCTGCTTTTTAATTACGTGAAACAAAACCCAAAATACTGGCAAAGACTGACTTCGTTAAAAACCCCCTGAGCAACAAAGCATGGACCCACTAAGCTAAAGAACGCTGTCTACAGCCATAAATATTGTCCACAAACCCCACTGAAAAAGTAGATTAAATTACCAAGGCTTCAGTGTTGATACTGGGGCTTCATAAGAAATGATCAGAGCCAAGAGTGGCCTCCAGGACCAAACCCCCTGTGGGGGCTGATTTAAAACACCTCTGTCAGATGCTGGAAGAGCAGGTTCCTCACCATGCACTGCCCATGGTCCTGTCAGCCCCGCTTCCACGTTCTGTGGAGCGTGACAAGCACGGGACGCATGCACAGGGGAGACGTGTGATGAGGATGACAGACACCTGCAGGAATGAGTCTGTGTGTGTGTGTGCCCACACCTCAATTTGTCTGCGTGCACCAGGGACCTGCTCACCTCATACCAAGAGACTGAATGCGTTCTCTTACCTTGGTGAAATTTCTCCTCTTCCCACCCCCGGTTACACAAAGGCATTGTATGGACGACTACTCACAATACCTGAGCACATGCCTGGCTTTCAGCACACAACAACAGCAATGTAGTGAATTAGGTGAGATTTAACCTGGTTGAACAACAGGGATATCGCTGGGAAGTGCAGCAACAAAGAGACCAATTTCAACAAAAGCATCTGGAATAAATTTAATACACATAACCTCACGTGCAGCATTCAGTGCTTAAAACAGATGCGCTTCTGTCATCTGCCAATTTCACATTTGCAATAACTAAACCTAACCTGTGTGTGATCTCTGATGACTCAAACAGCTTGGCCTCCTGAAAGGAAATTGAGAAAATTCCTTCTCCTGTGTGGGCACAGCGCCAGCAGGAACAGAGTCGGCATCTGGGGAGAAGGGATCAGCCTAAAGCCTTCACATGATGTGAGCTGGGCACACGCGGGGCTGCAGCAAGGGGAGGGCTTTTTCCTCCTAAAGGTGAGTGAAGCTTCAGCCGCTCGGCTCACACTGCCTGGGGTGGCTGGGAAACCCAACAGCCTCTGCCAGGCTCTGCTGCTGGGTGCCTAATGTAAGAGCAGCAGAACTGCTCTGAAGAAGTCCATGTTCGGCAAAGAGAGAAATCACAGAATGCCATAATGGTTTGGGCTGAAGGCACCTTAAAGCTCCTCCAGCTCCAACCCCTGCCACGGGCAGGGACACCTTCCACTAGAGCAGCTTGCTCCAAGCCCCTGTGTCCAACCTGGCCTTGAGCACTGCCAGGGATGGGGCAGCCACAGCTTCTCTGGGCACCCTGTGCCAGTGCCTCAGCACCCTCAGAGAACACACGCAATGCGTAATGCACAGCAGTACATAGAAACCTTCAGTCGGAGCTCAGTGGGACACAGACCATCCTGAAACACTGCAAGAGCGCCAGAAAAATGTGATACATACACAGTGCATGGATGCTTCATACGTACACAGAAGAATCAGACTCAATGCTTTTACTTACTACTCCAGAAAGCGTTAGATCCTGAACTGCCATTCATAGGCTATTCTGTTGCCCTGGTGCTCTGTGTTACACTAATCTTACCATAGTTCCTCAGGACCTACCAATCTCCCTGCAGCCACAGGAGCTGTAACCAGAAAACAATCACCCAGTGCCAGGTTTGCAGGCGGCTTCCATTCTCTGATCAATTCACACTCCCTACATAATTATGAATACGGCTCCGAATATTCACCAGGTACCTTGAGGTGAAACGGGGAGGGATTGGGTCATGCCACCACGGTGAAGGAATCCCATTTCAGCTGAGCTCTATGTCCCTGTTTGGGCAGGAGGGCACACGGGGCAGGGAGGAAGCAGGAGGTGAATGATGCTGCAGTTTCACAGGCGCTTTGTGCCTGTGGACACCTGCCCTGCTGCCAAGAGAAATGGTTTCCCTCCCTTCCCTCCCACTGCTTCCCACTTTATTCTGGCACGGTTTGTGAGCACACAGCAGAACAGATCGAGGAACGACCTCAAGCTGAGTTTTACAGGGTATTTTTAACCTGGAACAGTTCCCTAATGCCATTCATCACGTAGCAATACAAACCATTCCTGCCAGTTCACAGGAGGGGGAGACT